CATACATAGATTCGTTTTCATATTCTTTTTCACCATAAGTTACTACAAGACATTGAATATGGTTCCCCTTATGTTATTTAGATTGGAGACTTGTTTTTACCACGGACTAACCCCAACTGAACCAGCATTTCCCTCTCCTCCTCATTCTCATCACCACTGCTGGCTGGTACCCCAGATGCTCCTCCTTGTCACTTTGGGCTCCCAGAACCCTCCTCTCTTCCCCACTGGCTTCTTTCCTGCAACTAGAACCCTGAGGACCTGTTCCTGCCACGCTGCCCCTGAGCACAAACCCTCCTTCTCACTCCTGAGCTGTGTTGATAGAAAAAAATCCTGAGTTCCCAGAACAGAATTTTAAGCATTTTCACAGAGAAGCAGTGATGTTAGAAAGTAGTTAGATTTTGTGCAGTCAGTAGCAGTAGAGTTTGGGCTCATGAGACAATCCACCAAAAAAGCCTATTTTAACTTACAACATAACTGAATTACAGACTAATGGTGGCATAGAACCTAACTTCCATTTCTGAGATTCTTTTGTCATAAGAGGAATTCTACAGTTTAGAGCACAAATCATGGGTCAGCTGGAAATTATCTAAATATATAAATGCTTCATGTGCTTCCTGTAATATACAAACTTCCAAGTTCATCCTGACCTTCCTTGTCTATAAGCCAACTTTTAGAGCAGAAGGCTACAAGACAGAGATGCCATGGTCCCCTCTGATTTAGGAGAGCGTGAGCAACCTTGAAAAGGAATATCATATGAGAACACTTAATCAGGGAAATTGAAGTGGCTGACACTTGCCACTTGTTGCCTCAGCCTCCCCATTACTGTTCTGACCATCTTCCACGTCTTTGCCCTGGACAGCCCAGCACCAGCCATGTAATACACCTATCAGCCTGTTTATCTAAGGCTGTGGTTCTTAGCTCCATTCGACCCAGTGTCTGCCTGTTATAATGAATATTTTACACCTCCTTCTTTATAATCCTAAAAATGAAGTCAATAGATAATATATTTAGCAACACACCAAAAAAAAATGTTTTTAAAACCAGTGGGGAGGGTAAAGCTCAGTGGTAAAGTGCATGCTTAGCATGCACGAGGTCCTGGGTTCAATCCCCAGTACTTCCATTAAATATATACATATAAATAAAAAAACCTAATTACCTCCCCCCCAAAAAAAATTTTTAAAAAATATATAATGTCATAAAAAGGCATTAACTGCAATAAAAAAGAAAAATAAAAGTATTTTAAAATAAAATATATTTACTATGTAAACACTGGGGCCCATCTACCCTTGAACATATAATGAAAGAGAGAAAGGCTTACCCCTGCCTTTGATCAATAGTTTTATTTTAAACAACGTAAGATTGGGAATGAGTCCACATAAGAAGAAAAAGAAAATGAAAGAGTAGAAGCAGGGTGGACACTCAGATAAGAATGAACATCAAGAAAAGTAATAACCACTCAGATGGGCTATGACACAGGAAAGAGGAAAATGACTTTAATTGAAGTAGGGATCACACGACCAGACAAATTACAGACTATGGAAGTAGAAATAAGGAGGCAAGAAGAGTCACAAGAGTAGTGTTGAGATAATGACCTGTCTTGTGTTATTGAAATACACCTCTTGACTTGCAGTCCCACCCACCCAATGAATGTTAGGCCATTCATTCAACCTCAAGTGCCAAACAAAAGGTCTTTGACTGATGACAGAAAACCCAGGACAGATTAAAAAAAAAAAAAAAAGAACGAAGGAGGAA